GAGTACCAAACAGTGCGGGAGATAAGAATTATCTCAAAAAAAAAAAAAAAAAACTACAAATAATTTACAAATAACCTCAACTGGCTTCATACTGGCTAATGCTTGTGGATTTGCCGCAACTGATAAATCGATCCCTGTAAAAAAAAACCAAAAATTTTCGACAACAACTACAATCCGAAAAACTAAAATTTAAGATAAAAAAAGTGAAAATTTTACAAAAATACACAAAAAAAACTGCACTTTTTAAGGTCAAAATAACTGGACAGACCTTCCGCTCTACGGCTGAGGATTAAAATTATGAATTTCTGAAAATCTAATTCATCATCAAATAATTTTTAGTGGAACAGTAATAAAAATATGCAACTTAAAATAGGAAATGGAAAGGATTTCTTCGTAAAATTCTTCAAGTCTGAACCAGAAAAGATTCCCCTTCTTCTCTTGAAACACTCCCCAACGTTAAATTTCATTTAAAATTAGGCACTGAGATGCTGATTCGGTGTAAGATAAAAGTGAATTATACTGCAAAAATATTAAAAATTCACTTACAGCAAATACTGAGAAAAAAAACAAACAGAAATTTGTTTTTCGCCTAAAAAAGAATTTTCCCATAAAATTCTTCAAGTCGGAACTATAAAAGATTCCCCCCCCCCCACTTCTTGAAACACTTCCCCATGTTAATTATATATGATTTTATTAGGCGCTGATATATTGATTAGGCATAAGACAAGAGAGAAGTATACTGGAAATATTAAAAATTCCCCTAACAAATACTAAAAAAATTAAAAAAAAAAACTAGAAAAATACTAAAAAAATACTAAAAAAACACTAAAAAATACTAAAAATGCCAAGAAAAAATAAATTACTGAAAAAATAAACAAATACCAAAAAAAATTACTTTCTAATTTGAAAAAAAAAAACAAAATATAAATTCTCTAAAATTATTTGCGCTAACCCATGATAGATACGACAGTTAGCGATAGGGTATGAGATCTTTTCTTATCGTCATCGAATTTGAAAACCAGTAATTCGCCACGTGTGAAAGCATGGCCAGCAAATTGGATCGAGAATTCTCGTGCCATATGATCTGCATTCAACGGTTCAACTGTTTGACTGCAAAAAAAATACCGTTTTTGTTGGTAGCAAAATCTCGTTATTTTGCAAAATATTAAAATAATTTATGAAATTTTGAAAAATAGATATCGGCATGAAGTTGTATTTTAAAAGAAATTAAAATGAGTATAAGTATTGGAAAGTGTAGCATTGCTGCTGGCAAGGTGCAGCGACAAGAGAAAAGAGGAATCGGACAGTCGACTTTGTTTATTTGATATTGGTGAAGAAGCCAAATTTTACAACCTCATTTAAGCTAGCCGGTATTTGCATTGGGTGACGTCTGTGTTTCATCCCTGAACTGTAAAGTTTCGGACGAAACGAACGTTAGGATCGCCAGCAAACTCACCATCACTGGTCGAAGTAAATGGAAAAATTGCCAGCTGCATCAGTTACTGGGAAGAAACCAAAACCCTTTTAAAGTATCAAAATGTGTACTTATCAAAATTCCAACTTATATTCTTGAAAGATAAAAATTTTCAGTGCAAAAATATTACTTTTTTTTGGATTGGAAATCAGCGGCAACAGTGATTGAGCCAATGTACTGGTTGGTGGCAAAACTGAACGGTTGCACCTCCACTTCTTGGTCCAACGAAAGCTTGGACCATTTACGTTGGGGCATCGCGAAAGCTATCTCATCCGTTTTCAGAGATGGATGATTGCGAATCGAGAAGACGAAATGATGCGCCGGACCCGTTTTCACCAGCACATGCCTGGAATGAACGCTTTTTTTCCCCGAGATATTAAAGCTGAATATTGAAGCTTTTTCTTCGTAAATATGTATTTTGAAGTTATTTTAGTCGATAAGTTTTTTCACTGATGAGATCCAGTTGCAGCACTGAATGGAGATGTATGTGATGAATTAATGGACCGAAATATTCTAATTCAGTTTTTATTTTTACCTTTTAATTTTTACAACCTTTTTTATTATAATCACAAAATATGTAAATTTAAATTTCAGCTGCACAAGCAGACCATCGCGCAATATATCAAATGGATTTTGTTAAAAATAGATTAAAGATCAACTGCGTTACTACGACGCAGTACCCTGTCTCTGGTTCAAACTTTAACCACCCTACACCCACTGAACTTTCGATCTTTGTCCCCTAGGGTATAAAAGCACCCCTCCCCATCGCGGGGATCGCCACTACCGATCTACTATTGCGAACTACTTCTTCTATATAACTAATACTCCCACTCTGGGGAGCTTCGGCTCCCCACAGCCTCACCTTCCTTTTATGCATTACCCTTTAACTTACTATGTATTAACAAACATGTATATAGGGCGCGACGTTTTACACACACTTACAAACGGGACACACACTAGTCTAATAAGCTAACAATTAGGATCGCGATAAGACTAATCCGAACCAAGTGCCAATTTTCTAGTTACATTGGTCCTTAAATTATAAAGTTAGACAAAAGGGAAATAAATTTGCAGACTGCCCCAAATACGAATATTTTGTACTTCAAACACCGTAGCATTTGTCTCTGTTTGATGTGTTTGGGTATATTTGTGTATATATTTGTGTGTTCTTTCTATGTATGCACTTATTTATTTGCTTACTTGCACAAGTAAGACTTGAAACACTGGAATCAGAGATAAGGAATCAACCTATATATCACTGCCCCAGCGGGAATACTTGGGAGCAGTGCATGTTTCATCCCTTAGCTGTAAACACAGACAGAGCACAACGTGTGTGGTAGGAGTCGGAGTCACTAATGCAGCCTTCTACCCGTCACGTATATATAGTGGGCATGTGTTCAATCGTTCGCGAATATTGCAAAGAAACATTAAAAGAACAAGATGGAGAGTAAATGAATAAAATGAAGGATGGTTAATCTGCATTCTAAGCAAGTTTTGATCCTCGAGTTGTTCTCACGGCGATGAGGTTAGATCTTACTTTGTGCCGGATGCATTGAAAACACTGGCATTTACCACAGCACAGTTCGTGAGTGCCAGCTCGTCCGTCGGACATTTGCGTACACGCATTTTCACCGTCATTGTGAAACCTGAAAAACAGAACATTAAGGGGGCAGGGGAGGGGGAAGCCCAAACAGATACACGTGGCTGCACAAGTCAGTGAGGTCAGTGACGATTATCAGTGACGTGAAAATCGCGCACCAAAAGTCAATTAATCGGCATTCACTCACGCAAAAACTTGTACCGGTGTTTTTTTGATATTCTTGGTAATACAGTGAAGAACTGGGAAAACAAATGGGAAGAGAAAATCGTTTAGAAAAAAAAGG